TGCTGCTGGTAAAATAGATGAATTGGAGAACTACTCGCCGGCTAAAATATGACCTTATACAGATATCCTGATTATAAAAGTTTTTAAAAAAGCACGAATTCTGGAATAAACAACTAAGTTGTAAAAAAAATACACAACACTGACGATGTAAAAAATAGTGGCCGGCTGTGTACTGATCACGTGACAATGCTTTGCCCAACCCCGCAATGCGCCTTTGCCAGGGAAGGAGGCCAATTCACACCTAATACAATGACCGTTTCCAGACCGGGGATAGAGGGACTGTGTAAATCAAGCTGTCAAATAGCATTGATGGTATTATGCAGACTGCCAATACCTGAATTGAAGCTTTCAGCTGTGTTATACTGTAAACTGATTATAATTATAGCATTAACGAAGAAAACAATTTCAGAAAGTAGCCAAAACTGTGTTGTTAAGACCCCAGAAAAATTGTCACTGCAACAAAATTTCACTGATAAGCAAAAATTTCTCTTGTGAAATTAAAGCCGTTTTACAGTAGCATTTATGTACACAGCCAACCGTCATGAACACGCGTCTAAATTCAAACAGCATTGAACTTTTTACCTGGATAGACTGTACTTGCTTTCCATTGTTTTTATTTACAAAAAGCAATAACAAATCTTGCAGTTGATTTCAAAATTTTAACTGCCATTGTTTATTTACGAAACCAGCCTGAAGCATATCAGTGATGTTTCACTTCTGACACAAGTGAATGGTGACCACGCTCACATTGGTATGGTCAGATTTTAAATTAAGTTCCCAATTGCTGTTAATGTTGCCCTTTTTCTCAAAATTTATGTCATTGGAATTATCAAGTCAGTCAAGTATCCTCAACACTTTGCATAATTTTGCCACCATTGATGCTTTCAGATAATCAAATTTTTTTAAAAATATTAAAAGCAAATTAGTATTACCACAATGTGATTTAAAGTTGCTTTCCCACTTCAATTGTAAAACATCTTCCCACAATAATAGCTCATATCGTGCCTTCTCCTTTCCCGACATTTTATTTTGAGAGTATTGAAAGTTCTCGTCTCTTATCACTAACATGTCTACAATGTAACCTTTAAGGACAAGCAATGATTTTTAATTCTGTGAGTGGTTAACAAATCAAACCTAATTTAAGAGGCATACTACCTCAGATTTGTGAAGTGGAAGGGCAACTTTAATCATTGAGTGCATTGCATAGCACTGTACTGTACTGTTGCTGTTTTGTTTGTAGTGGCTAACATGGGTAAAAGTAAGGCCAAGGCAAAAAGGAAGGAAGATGATATTGTTCTAGCAGAGGAAGAAGAGGAGGAAGAATACCAAGTGGAAAAAGTGGTCGATAAAAAAGTAAACAAACATGGAAAGATAGAGTACCTGTTAAAATGGAAAGGTTATAGCGAGTAAGTATTTTTGGTCCCTTTGGTAACACTCGTGGACTCTCCTGTTTAGTAATTTTTCCATTGGCCATGGACATTAGCTAGTAGAATTTTTTAGAACTCTTTAGAGGGGTAGTTCAGACTGTTAAACAGTACATGCTGCATTGATAGTGCGTCAGTGGTCATATTATATTTTTTTTAAAGCAGGAAGTGCTCTATTGTTGTAACATCATTGGCAGATAGGTTACCAGGTTCATGAATAAAATCATCCCCTAATTTTGGCAGTCATAAAAGATTTACTATAAAATGGCGTATTTGCTTGCGAATCTTTTTCATAGAAGCACTCTCCACATTATTACTATTCAGTTAACTTGTAGCATCTCCGTACCAAGTGAATTCGAGTTTGATAATCTCATTATAATTGATCACATGGTTAGGTGCTATATTAGATCAACTGATACTAATCTGAAATATTTTAAACTCTATCTTGCTACATAATGCTCTACTTAATGAATCTTAGTTTGTCAAATGCATCAGAAAATGTGGCTGTCTCCATTTTGAATTGAATGCAAACACTGCTCCAACTTTCCATCACTTCATAAACCTGAAGTTTTTATCACAGTACACACCATCAGAACCAAATATGAAAAGTACATGCGAACAACAAGCAGGAAGTGCTCTATTGTTGTAACATCATTGGCAGATAGGTTACCAGGTTCATGAATAAAATCATCCCCTAATTTTGGCAGTCATAAAAGATTTACTATAAAATGGCGTATTTGCTTGCGAATCTTTTTCATAGAAGCACTCTCCACATTATTACTATTCAGTTAACTTGTAGCATCTCCGTACCAAGTGAATTCGAGTTTGATAATCTCATTATAATTGATCACATGGTTAGGTGCTATATTAGATCAACTGATACTAATCTGAAATATTTTAAACTCTATCTTGCTACATAATGCTCTACTTAATGAATCTTAGTTTGTCAAATGCATCAGAAAATGTGGCTGTCTCCATTTTGAATTGAATGCAAACACTGCTCCAACTTTCCATCACTTCATAAACCTGAAGTTTTTATCACAGTACACACCATCAGAACCAAATATGAAAAGTACATGCGAACAACAACAACACCACCACTCCACACTTTGGACCGCTTACAGCATTGATATTCTTGCGTATTTGCTTACAGTGCTGAAAACACTTGGGAACCAAAAGATAATTTAGACTGTCCAGACTTAATCTCAGAATTTGAAACAAAACTAAAAGACAAAGAAACAAAAAAGAGGAAATCGGCATTTAATGGTTCAGAAGAAGCCAAGAAAAAGAAAAAAAAGGAAGAAGTAAGTTATTTTATCAAGTTAGTCAATCTGGGGAATATCGAGCATGCAGTTTTACAACAAAACAGGCTATATTAATTGCTATATTAAGTTAATGAAATATCAAACTATAAATGAAAGGCTACCCATTTACCTACAATTTTTCTTCAACCATTGTGTTGAAAGCTCTTTTTGTACAGCTTTTAAGTTTCTACTAAACCTAGTGGACTACCCAATATTACCATGGGGCTACCAACTTTTAAACTGGTAGGCCACCAACTTTGAACAAATGTTAATTTTGAGTCCTGAAGTCTTGTACAAGTTTTATGTTGACGGGCTGCAAACATACAGACCTTGTTCTTATTCTTGCATACTGCAACAATACTTGTACCTCTCATTGTATTATAGGATGAAACTGCTGTGAGGGGTTTTTTAAGAGGTTTGGATCCAGAAAGGATAATTGGAGCCACAGATTCAAACGGTGAACTTATGTTTCTTATGAAATGGTAAGTAGTGTTTTGTACTCAACAACCGTGTGATGATGCTTAAGTTTTGAAAGTTGAAGGTTTAGATGCAAGTTCGAAGTGAATTTGTAGTCTCTGTTCAAACTCGGTCCAAAAACAGCGACTTATCGATTTGACTTCTGTGTGTCCGTATGTGGGTTTGCCTGTTTTGACCTATATCTTAGACATGCCTGGACCGATTACATTCAAACTTCACACATTACATATTTCATGATCTTTTTCACCATTTTGGGGCATTTCTGGCATTCCAGAACCGGGTCTCTGCAGTTTACAGATGGATTTTGTTTAAACTTGGTACATACATTGGACATTATGGGACCTTGATGCAGGTCATTTTGTTTTTAAGATCAAATTCAAATTGACCAACTGGCTGCCATTTTGTTCTAGTGAATGCTGTTCTTGCATTCTTTTATTGATTATGTTCAAATGTTATATATTCATTATACATCATGTCATAGATATACAGATGTATTGGTTTGACTTTCTGATTCAAAATGGCCGACCATTGGCCATTTTGTTTTATTGATGCTGTTCCAGAGCAATATCTCTCATTGTGGACAAGTACTTGTTTGATGATTAGATATAAGATGACTAAATGTCAGTCATTTTAATGTTAAAAAATCTACGTAATTAAGCATCAGCTTCTGGATCCACATCTTTGCCATGTTTATGTTCAAACTATATTATTATAAACAAAACTATATATCTTAAATTTGATGTGTAACTGGCACTATGCCATGCATGGCTTGTCTCCACTTGTGTTTTCCAGTTTGCCATGGATGTTCAAATCTAAAAAGCTCTCGCAATTGTTGTTTATTTCAAATGAAACTTTCACTCTGTTTATCTGTTGTTTAATAACAAATGGGTGTCCAGGCGTTATAGATAGCATGTTTTGTTTTCATATTACAAAGTTGTCAAGCAGAATGTTTGCTTTATATTCAATCCCGGTCAGTATTTCACATTTAGGATGGCATTGTGCAAGAATGCAAAGCTTTACTTTACTATAGCAGACATTACTCTAGCTAAATAATTTTCAATCTCTCTGACCAACCAGAAAACACAAATGAAGATAATGCCTGTTTTATGAAAGTGATGTTTATCGTCCACAAAAATGCTTGCTGATGTTCAATCGTGATGTAAAAAAATAAAATAAAAAATATTTACAATTACTGTTTGCACAATACTCTATCGAATCACCAATTACTGGTGTTATGCATAAACTTCTCACCAAACCTTTCAATGTTAGATCAAATCGTGACAAATGTTCAATTATTTGAATCATTCAAGTTGTGTAGTTTCAAATTTTGGTGCACTTGAAAAAAATAATTTGTATTAATGACTGCAATTAAAAAGAATAATTATTTTAACTACTGTGATCTACTAGTTTTTAGAACCACGTTGGTGGTGGCTACCCAAATTTACACATACTTCTAAAATCCTATTTTTGCACAAACTATGATACAATGTATGTAGCACACTACCTAAATAGTGATTCATGTTTTTGTATTTCAGGAAAGGTAGTGATGAAGCGGATTTAGTTCTCGCGAAAGAAGCAAATGTCAAATGTCCACAAATCGTGATTTCATTCTATGAAGAAAGGCTCACATGGCATTCATATAATAACGATGAAGATGAAACCGAAAACACTGTTTGATGTTTTAAGAAACCATTTTCTTGTCTTTATTCAAACCTATGGACCTTTTTTATTTTTATTTGAGTTAAAATTATTAGCCTTCACTGGTTTAACAAGAGGTCTGTAGAGAAGAAAAATGCGTGTAGACAATTAAAGGTGTACAGGAAGAGGGATTCATGGCTGAAGATCATAACTCTACTGATTCGTACTTGTGATAAGACACCCATTTTTAACATTAGATGACACTCCCACTTTTGTATTTTCAGAAACCAGTATTGTAATCAGAGAGATTCTATTGTGTAAACTTCTAAACTGTAAAAAAAAGTTTCAGTGTCTATCCTTTGAGCTGAATTTGATGCGAAATTCACTTATTCATGATTTTCGAATCTAGTGAAATGAACATTCGATGGACTTGGATGTTGAGTTGCAATCCATCTTTTCTTTTTGATTTGTTCATCTACAAGCTTTTGTAATCCCTGCATTATAACTGGTATTTTGTATATTGTGCTCACCAAGGGAGTGGCTTTTGTATCTGTAAAACAAGGCTTCAAATAATTCTGAGTCACAATCCATCACTTCCTTGCAAACCATGGGAGTCGAGAGAGTTTACCAGCAGCTGGAACTCGCTCAACTCGCTGAGAATGGGGTGGGGTCTAATGAGCTGACCAAAAGGGGGAAATTTATGGAGTCTATCAGTTTGTGATCAGTTGTAAGCTTCTATCGCTGTACCAGTTTAGACTGATCTTTTTAAAGTTGAAAACATAATCATGATTGTTGGATTATTTTTATAACCATTTAAATAGAATTAGTGTATTTCATTGTTTCTTTTGAATCTGGTGTACCAAAAAGACAGGCTCGGATTTTTCATGTTTGAAAGACTTCCTTATTCAATGCAATATAATTAAACTGTCAGATGTGGTGCCAAAATTGTAATTACTCGTATACCACCTGCTCGTAGTTTTTTATTTGTGGCGCTAAATCAACTGAGCATCAAATTTGTTTTGCAATTGGATGTATGAAGGTAGGGGTTGGGGGTTGCTTGGCATCCTCCTGTCATGTTTAGATTAAAATCTTCGGTGGAGATTTAGTGCAGCTTAAAGCAGGTATTTGTAGATGTAATCTGCTAAAGTTTAAGAGAAGTTTTATTTTTTGCATTTGTCATAGATGAGAATCCAGTCTCCTCTTTTTGTATGTTAACACCATTTTATTAAATGTGTCAGATTAAAATATTATGTGTTTATTTCTTTCAGATGTCGGCGTCTTGATCATTTGCTCACTTTGTGTTAATAAATTCCAACCTACAAGTTTGAGTTTCTTGTTGCGCTTATCGTTTATAAAGCTTAATCTTAGTTCTGGGACTATTTGGTCTGAATCTATGGGGTAAATCATAGACTGGAGGGTCTATGGGTAAATGATGTTAAAAAAACTTTCTAATTTCCGCATATTTAAATACTTGGTTTAGCTTCCCATTTAATTGTTAAAATTGCATTTGTTAAATCATTCAAATCGCGAAGATTTGTTTCAACAAGGGTAAATCCAAAATTTTCTAAAATATTTGCACATTGTCAAATGCATGTACGAGGGGGCGTTCAATAAGTAATGCCCCTGACCCTTTTCCCATAGCAGATTAATGATAATTGGCAGTTATTAGTCTTTCTTTACATAGGAACCACCCAGAGTTGTGCATTTCTCATCGTTTGATGCAGCTCTGGACAGTTTTTGTAGAACATCCTAGGTTGGTCCTCCAACCATGTCGTAACTTCAGAAATCGAGGCTGCATCATCTTGGAAACACTTTCCTTTCAAAAACAACTTCATGGCTGGGAAAAAATGAAAGTCTGAGGGTGCAAGGTCAGGAGAGTACGGGAGATGGGGGAGAATTTCATAGCCACACGCCCATGCTTCTGTTCTGGCGACGTGAGAGTTGTGGACCGGAGCGTTATCATCCTGGAGGAGGATACCTTTGATCTTGCCCCGCTTCTCGATTTTGATAGCTTCTCTCAATTTCATCAAAAGTGATTGTGGTACCCTTTGCCAGGAAATCTGTCATCACTACTCCGTCCTGGTCCCAAAAAGACTAAGCATGACCTTGCCAGCGGAGGGCTGCACCTTTGCAACTTTAGTCTTTTCATCACAAATTAACTGCACTTTCCTTCAGATTGATACAAATTTGAGTAAAAACTGAAAATTTATTCAAATTTTGTTGGTTCCAAAATTAATATTTCCAGAAATATTGAAGATAAGTAAAAAAGTGCTGAACAATTTGGCTGAGAAGTAATTAAATATAAATTTTTTTCATGTTATGCATCTCAAATAGACAAAAATTAGTTGCCAAGCTTCTTCATTGAAAAAGCAAATCTGAAATTTTGAATTAATTTTTAATTGCTCCAATGCTCTCAAAACACAGCAGTTCTTTCTAAGCGTAAAGTAGGATACTATTCTTTTAGAATACCATCCTGCTTTGATTGTTTTAAGCATATGTAGTACAATGCAATCATCCTGCCATGTGATTGCAGGCATGTATTGGAATACTAGTAGAATGCTATCATCTCGCTGCGATTGTAAGCGTGCAGTGGAGTATCAGTAGAATGCTATCATCCTGGTGTGTGATTGTAAGCATGTAGTGAAATACTAGTAGAATGCTATCCTGCTCTGTGATTGTAAGCGTGTAGTGGAGTATCGGTAGAATGCTATCATCCTGCTGTGTGATTGTAAGCGCGTAGTGAAATACTTGTAAAATGCTATCATCCTGCTATGTGATTGTAAGCATGTAGTGAAGTACTTGTAGAATGCTATCATCCTGCTATGCGATTGTGAGCATGTAGTGGAATACTAGTAGAATGCTATCCTGCTATGTGATTGTAAGCGTGTTGTGGAGTATCAGTAGAATGCTATCATCCTGCTATGTGATTGCAAGCATGTAGTGAAATACTAGTAGAATGCTATCATCCCGCTGTGATTGCAAGCATGTAGTGGAATACTAGTAGAATGCTATCATCCCGCTTTGTGATTGTAAGCATGTAGTGGAATACTAGTAGAATGCTATCATCCCGCTGTGTGATTGTAAGCATGTAGTGGAATACTAGTAGAATGCTATCATCCCGC